TATTGATGTCAGCTTTTGTAGTGCTCCAATCACTCCACTATGCGAATGGTGGGTGCATGATGATTGTATGGGTAGCTATCATTTTCCTACGCTTACTCGTGTTTTATTGTCCGTTGATAGATACCAAATTAATCCTCCCATTGAAAAATTCTTATACAACAAGACAAACTGGACGAAATACAATGAGCTGTCTCTAACTGCTTTTTCTAATTTTGAAGTTAATAATGAGAATCCATTACAGTCATATGACGAATTTATCGAAAGACTTGATACACTTAAGAGGGATACTGTACCAAAGTTTGTCAAAGCAAATAATTATCGTTGCAAACCTCCAGCACCTTGGTGGAGCGACATATGTGAACAGAGTGTTATTAAAACTTATGAAGCTTTAAAACTGTACAGAAGGGATCCAACCATTGATAATTATATTAATTACAAAAGACTTAATGCTGTTAAGAAAAAGATTATTTCAGAACATAAACGCAATGGTTGGGTGAACATCTGTAATACTTTTAACAGAACTACACCTGTTAATATTATTTGGAAATACATCAAGTTATTTAAACGAATAAAATGTAATAATAGAACATATAAAGATGAATTTGTTGTCCCTCTCTTAGAAAAATTATCTCAAAATGGATGTAGGGTTATTGATAATCTAAAAAGTTATTTTCAAATTAATAATAGCCTTCAGAAGTCCAGTTTCCTCATAGAACCCTTTACTTGGAGTGAGTTTTGTACAAGTTTACAATCCAGACGAAACACAACCCCTGGTTTAGATGATTGTCCATACATTTTGATTAAAAACCTAAATCAGTCCGTTCAAAAAAAACTATTAGCTAATCTTAATGCTCTTTGGCACTTAAAAAAAATTCCTGAATCTTGGAAAACACAGTGTGTAATCCCTCTACTTAAGCCTGACAAGCCACCTGAAGATCCTAATTCGTATCATCCCATATCATTGTCATCTTGTGTTGCAAAGCTTAATGAAAACATGATAAAGATGCATCTTGAGTATTATGTAGAGGCGAACAACATCATTCCACATGTTCAATATGGCTTCCGGAGAGGGCGAAGTTGTGCTGACAGCTTCATCTCTCTCTTGTCAGATCTGAAATATGCCAATAATAATAATAAGTCCAGTGTTTGTGTTGTTCTGGATGTTCAAGGTGCATTTGATAGTGTTGACCCTGGCATTTTGGTTCAAGTTCTTTCTGACATTGGTATACCAGGCATGCTTTGTCATTGGTTATTTAATTTTTTAACAGATAGAACTTTGTATATAAGATATAATAATATTCTCCATGGTCCCAGAAAGGTCTCCAAAGGTACAATGCAGGGGGCTACATTATCTCCATTGCTGTACAATATATATATACTAGTCAAATTCTTAATTTTGTAAATATAGAAGGTGTGAATATTCTACAATTTGCGGATGATCTTGTAATATATTGTACAGAGCATAATGTAGATAGAGCTGTAAATAATATAAATAATGCTTTAGACCAATTGTACATATATTATAATGACAGGTTGGCTCTAAAGATTAACCCCAACAAAAGCAAGGCCATGATTTTTAGTAAAGATTTCCCCTCTAATGGCATACTCTACAATAATCATCCAATTTCAGTTGTACCTAACCATAAATTCTTGGGTGTTGTCATTGATAACAAACTTTGTTTTGATTTACATATCAATCACATTATAACTAACTCTCTTAAGGGTTTAAATATTATAAGATGTTTAGCTGGTGTGACTTGGGGTGCAGACCCCAAAGTTTTAAGTATGCAGTATAAATCTATAGTCAGAAGCCACTTCGACTACAGTTGTTTAGCCTACACAAATAGTAGTAGTGTAAAAAAACTAGACATAATTCAAAACAAAGCTCTGCGAATTATTACTGGGGCTATGTGTTCAACTCCCATACAAGCTATGGAAGTTGAAACCAAAATAATGCCACTGTGTCTCAGAAGACTTCTACTAATAGAGAGATACTTACTAAAGCTGTTATCTGGTAATGATAATGTTCTCAAAAAAATAATACCTTTTCCTGTACAATCCTCGGCACAGCAGACTTCGGGAGGTGAGCTTTTACGGGGTTATTTCCCAGTATTGCCTCTCATTGTACTACAAATGAATGAAGATTTTAAAAATGTAATTAAACAATCAAAGTGGACATGCTACTCTTACCCATATTCCCGTATTATATTTGAGACCAATATTATTACTAAAAAAAATTTTTAATAACTGTGAATTATTAAGTTTTCTTTCCGATAATAACTACTATACTTTGTATACAGATGGTAGCAAAAGTGAGCTCTTTGTGCGCAGTGCTGTCTATGATCCCCAATCCAAGATTGGTCAAAGTTTTCTTTTGGATCCTAAATGCAGTGTTTTTACTGCAGAGGTATATGCGGCCCTCGAGGCCCTGAAGAGGATCGCACATATAGTTTTAATAATTTTTTAATTTTAACAGACAGTTTAAGTATGGTCCAAAGTTTAACCAATCTCAGATTTGACTTTAAAAAAAAACTATATTTTGTATAATATTAAAAAGTTGTTATTTAGTTATGCACAAAAGGGTATACAGGTCTCTTTCATGTGGATTCCATCACATAGGGGCATAACAGGAAATGAGATAGTAGATAAAATTGCACGTGATGGAACCAACATGTTGGATGTTAGCTCCATAGTAAAAGTACCTTTGACCGACTGTTATGAATCTATTGACAAACAGGTCAATAGCTTATGGGTCGAATTTTGGAAACAAGACCAAGAACAAAAGGGTAAATGGTATGGAAATGTTCAAGAAAATCTGCCTGTAACACCATGGTATAACAAACTGAAAATGACCAGTCGGGACTTTATTACGACTATAAACAGACTGCGTATTGGTCACTCCACCGTCCCGGCCCACCTGGCTCGGTTGGGCATAATGGAGAGCAGCTACTGCACCTACTGTAATAATTACCCAACTACCCTTCTGTTGGTGATATCGAACATTTCATATTTATATGTGAGTGCTTTTCATTTGACAGATTGATTCTTGTCAGTGAAATAAGTGACATAGTGCAAAATCAAGTGACAGTGCAAGATCCCTCCCGCCGCCTGAGTGATATGTTAAAAAATAGATCCTATTACGTGCCTCTATATAAATTTATCAAAAATACAGTGGGGAAATTATAATAAACCGAATAAAAATACTCAAGACCTGGCCTAAAGGTCTAGATACCACGCCATAAACTCCAAAAAAAAAAACCAAATGTCAATTCAAAATTGTCGTCCATTCTTCAGGTACCTATACAAAAAGTACTCTGTGGTCCATTCCATATGTTATACCATAGATGTTATACCTACTAGGGATGATCGATGTTGCAGAAACATCGATGATGACATCGATGTTGGTATCGATAGCTTAACACCGATGTTCGATGTTTATCCTGCTCATAACATCGATGTTGGCCATTATCGATGTTTTTTGCGCGTGTACTTATTTAATAGGTGAGATATAAAAAATAGTCATGTGGTTTAGTGTCAGAAATTTAAAAAATGGGAAGAAGTTAACAAATATCTAGTTCATTTGTTATAATATTATAGTCTAATATTTCTTGCTGATCATGATGTATGTTACTATTTTGATTTTTAAATGTTCTACACATTCACAAATCTGATATGAAAAAAATTACTATGGGATTCAATTTACGACTTGGACTTAGTTTTTATATCAACTACTTTTATTGCGAAAGAAAAAATATGGTTTTACTCGTAGAGAAAAAGAAAATAAAAGACTCTTTCGTTACCTTTGTTCACAAATTTTAATCAGACAGCCCAAGCAGTAGGTATCTACACCCGTTTATAAAATACACTGCCGAATGCACTATGCAGTGAAATTGTCTATGCTCACGCTCGTTCAGTGCTCTATTTTCATAAACTTCAAGTTCAAGCAAAAAAAATAAACTCATTATGATAAGCTAAAAAATGCAACTAAATGTAATTGAATTGTGTAGATACTTACATATTGTTTCAAAATTATGTGGGTATAGACAGCAAGGGAAAAACAATTCATTTGAATATCAATTTATGTAGAATATTTGTTAGGCGACAACCGATAACGTTACTACAGAATAACAAAGCGAAAGCAGTTACAAGTGTGACATTACAATTCACACTTGACAGCGAAATTTGACACACCATAATGATATTTTTTTAGGTGATCGATGCATGATGAATTATTCTAAATTTTAAACCTTTAATAGAAGATGCAAGATTTAGTTGATATAGATTTCGCGGGTTCGCCTTTTTCAGAGGTTTCTATTAATCGGTTATGGGTTGTTGACATCGATGTTTGACATGTGGCAACATCGATGTTTCGAGGTTTGACATGTGGCGACATAGATGTTAAAACATCGATGTTTTAATTTTTAACATCGATGATCATCGAACATCAATTATCATCGAACATCCCTAATACCTACCTGTACCTACTTTGCTTTGTTTTGCTTGAGTTGGAACCGTGACAAATTAAATATAAATTTTTAAATAAATGTCAACAATTTCTTTACTAAACGTAGAAGTTATTACTTATCAAACGAGTCATCGATTATTCCTGCAATAAAAGGCGCGAATTATAAAATATTTTGCCTTTTATAAATTTGAGGTTTCTTAAACTTTGTGTCCTAACTCTAACCACAAAGTTTTAACTTCACATTTGACTTTACACATCTATTCACAGACTAGATAGAGAAACATCTATTTCAGTATAAATGGATTCCATTCAAACAACTACAAATTTGCCTCATATTGTTCAAGTGTATCAACCGTCCGTTTCTATTCATCCAACGCTACACACATCACAAGGCAAGGTTACGTATCAACAAACCGTCACATCCGAATCTTTACACATACCGGTTTCATCGCAGGTTCAACATGAAATCGCAAATCATCAAATTTTGTCACAGAACCAAACAATGATGTCCTGTCAGCAAATTCATTTACATAATATGCAGCAAATACAACCGCAAATGTTGCCAAATGATATGAATGCGATGCAAATAACTTCGCATGTGATATTGCCCCAAGTGCCTGTGTTCAAGCCTCATATGATAACAAGTGGTGTACAACAACAATATTATGGTGGACACTATGAAGCATTTATTAAAGATCAACATTGTCTTATTACTAAAGTGGAGCCAGATGTCCAACTTATAAATGAGAAACATATTGAGTAAGTTTGTTTTTTTTTTTAATAGTTGGTTCACATATGAGCACACATTATGTTTGATGGTAAGTGGATGCTATGGCCCATTGTCATTTATGTTTATCCTTGATTAAGCCTTTGACTGCCGTGTCAGTCACTTTGTACTGAGTATTGCATTTAAAATATGACTGATGGCAGTTAAGTGTTAATAATCAATATGCGACAAATAGTCCGACTAGGTAAGTTCAACTTCGACCGAGAGGTCAATCGACGGATTCAACTCGGCTGGGCAGTGTTCGGGAAATTACGACACATCTTCTCGTCAGGTATACGTCAATCTCTGAAAACTAAAGTGTATAACCAGTGCGTGTTGCCAGTGATGACTTATGGATCTGTGAAGTGGTCATTCACCGCTGGCTGTATGAGGACGCTCAAGGTCGTTCAGCGAGCTATTGACAGGGCTATGCTCGGAGTTTCTCTGCGTGATAGACTCAGAAATGAGGATATCCGCAGTAAAACCAGAGTGACCGACATAGCCCAACGAATTAGTAAGTTGAAGTGGCAATGGGCCGGCCATATATCTCGAAGAACCGATAACCGATGGGGAAGAAAGGTTCTCGAGTGGCAGCCTTGTACCCGTAGGTGTAGTGTAGGGCGACTCCCCACTAGATGGAGTGACGACCTGGTAAGACATGCAGGAAGTCGATGGATGCAGGTGGCTCAGGACCGTGCTTTGTGGCATTACTTGGTGGAGGCCTATGTACAGCAGTGGACTTGTGAAGGGCTGTAATGATGATGATGATGATGAATCAATATGCAGATGCGTGGGCCATGTACACCTACCTTTATCCTTAATTAATAATAGAATAGGTCACTAGAGTAAGATCGCACCTTTTCATCAGTACAAAAGTTCTCATTACTTACTATACAAAACGCACCAGCATTAGGCTGCTTTTTATGAATACAAGCTAATCTTATCTATGTTGAGTTGAGCCATTTATGATGCTGTCATATTCATAGCAGTAGCTTGGCTCTACTTTAATTTCATTTTCCTTTTCATCTACAATTTTTTTTGGTTTATTTTATAGTGTATAAAAAGTAATGATAAGATGGACCCTCAGACGGCATCTGCAACATATCTTAATTCTTTATTTTTTAACAGGTCATAAGTTAGAAGCCCTTGTTCACTGCTGGATGCACATGTACACCTATAACCATGTAGTTGATTGCTAATGATTTTAGTTCAATATGTGTATGTTAGTCTGTGTTCCACAATAAGTTAATCATGGTTTTGGGTTGGTTTTTGTGTCACATGAAATGTATGCAGTGCTTAGTCTTTCTTTTTCTGAGGATAGACCATAGAATGCATACTTACAACTTGGTGAAATGAATTATGAAATGAAATAAATGAAATGAAATGAAACTTCATTTATTAATTTTCTTTTCTTAAATACAATATTATAAATAAAAAATTGAAAAGGAATAGACCAATAGGTAATCAAAATATGCTATAATCAAATTACACAACAAAAAACAAAAATATGAAACATTAAAGCTAATTCACTTGCTGATTTAGTCCTTAATCCTTATAAATATTAAGATTAAAAAAAAACCTGCATCAATTAATACAGTATGTTTTGATCATCAATATACAATCAAATAACAGGTCAGGTTTTGTAATTTAGCTTGGCAATTAGTGAATCATAAACTAATTGTCTATTGTTATTCAAAGGCTGTACAAATGCAAAAAAAAAGTTATTTTTCAAAGGGATGAGTTCGATTTGACTGCCAGTTATGTTTGCATAAATTATTCTTTTCATATTTCCAGATATAAATCAGAGTTCAACCAGCAACAAGAAAAAGATACTGCAACCAAAAAGAAGAGGACTCGAAGTCAAGTACCAAATCCAAGCAAATGGGCCTGTAATGTACGGAAAATAAAACATCAAAAGGGTGAAGCATATATTAGTCGGAGAGGGAAATATGTTCCAGAGAGACGTATAAGAAATACAAAAGACTGTCTCAAGTCATGTAAATATAAGTGCAATGAAAGGATCAATGATGTGGACCGCGAGCATATATTTAAAGCATTTTATTCTTTAAATACTAATGAAAAGAAACATTTCCTTCTAAATACAACTGAAAGGAATTATGTAAAACGTAATAAATCAGTGGATAGTAACCATAAAAGACAATATTCATTCAAATATTTCTTTTTGGTTAGAGGTGTAAGGTATACAGTATGTAAGAATTTCTATTTAGGGACACTTGCAATTTCACAAAAACCTGTATATAATGTGCATTCAGGTAAATCTGATATGAATCTACCGAAGCCTGATGGACGTGGTCAGTCTGAAGCAAGTGCACATTCCTTACCTTCAGAAATAAAAGATAGAGTTAGAAAGCACATAATGTCTTTCACAACAATAGATTCAAAACCAGTGAAGCAATTTTCCAGAAAGAAACAATACTTAGAATCTAAACTGAGCATAAAACAAATGTATACAATGTATTTTAGTGATTGCAATAAAGAAAATTTGGTGTCTGTAAAAGAGTCGATGTATAGAAAGATTTTTAAACAAGAATTTAATTTACATTTTAAGAAAGATAAGGCTGGCCATCAACTTTGCTGTAGATGCAAAGGGCCTATTAAGAAGAAATGATTTAAAAAGTGGGTCGCTATATGTTTTATGAATAATGTAACATTATTATTATTGTACAATGGATAACATTATCCTACAATCCGGGCGGATTAACTTGGCACCTGGTTCAACTGACGTTTGATTAAAGTACTGAGTGCAAAAAAGGTTTATTTTTATTTTTTAATATTCTAATTTCATAACTCATAAGCATATTATTGGCGTCTATAAAATAAATTCATACCTAATTTTATTATTTCAAGTGATAATCTTACTTTGCTTTCTGTTACGGTATATTAATACTTTAAATAGATTGAACTAAATTTGGAAAATAAAACGAAGATTGTTATGTGTACCAGACGTCTCACTATTCTCACTGTCACTGTCGTTTTCCTCCGTCTCTCTGTCCGAAGAGCTGTCTTCTCCTTCAAGAGAAATAATAAATTGTCTTACTTGTACCTCTTAGGAGTCGATCTTTTTGCCAATATTTTCCCTCCAGTCTTTGAACATGGTTCACCTCTTTTTTCCAGTCTGCAACTGTTATTGATTGAATTGCTTCTTTTGTCAATTTTTCTATTTGTTTTTTTATCTAATGAATGTTTTTGTCTGCCACCCTTTATTTAATCAGATTTAAAATATATTTAACGGAATTTAAATCGCAGTGGTAGGCTGGCAGACATACGACTTTGTGCCCATGCTCTCTTAACAATTCCTCTACAACATACCTTTTCTCTGGTTTATTTGCTCTAATGAGCTGGTATAACTCTCTGTTCGTTATTTTCGGATCAAAACTTATATTGTGTTGTTAACCAGCTTTGCATCTCACTCTTCAATGCTGATTGGTGTGGTAATTTTTCAGACTGTGTCAATTGGTGTAGTGCATTCTCAATCACAACTACGCCATTTGGAGGCAAATTAGGCAACAATTTTTCTCTTAGCCACTTAACAAAATGGTTAGTATCCATCTCGTTGTGGTAATCACCTGTCTTACTTTTGCATTTATAAAGCAACTCTGCCCCAGGGATAATGCCATTTTCGCCACCCGCATGTACGAGAATCCAGTGTTGACCGAGATTGGTGTTTTTCTTTATACTAGCATCGCTACTATTCTACCAGCACTTACTCACGGTATGAGGGGAATGTATCTATGTCTCGTCTAAATTCGTTACTAGTTTTTGTCTGCACCAAGTTCATTGTTTTATTTCATATGCTGCAGGTAGCGAGCCCTCCAGGATGCAATATTGGACTTTTGTATCATAACCAATCAGGCATTCTTACATTTTTTAAATTTGTACCCCAATTGGTCCTTTAAGATCAGTCGCAATGTAGTCCTTTTGCCTGAAAAAATCAAAAGTATTAGAATTTAACATTTTCTTGTATTGCTGAAAATATATGATCACCGTTATTGATGTAACAGTAATTATTACCTATACTAGTCGCAATATCACGCTGCACTCGGGGCAATCATAAATGTGAGCGCACTATGAAGCTTAATGTGCGTTCTCTTTCACTTCTTTGGCATCTTGAGTGTATATAAGTTGTCAGTCAATGTTTACAAAATTGTCTTTGAATCAACATAAAAAATAATGATGCACACCTGGAAAATTAAAATCTTTTTTGGCAGCTGCCAATATTTTTTAAGCATAGGTATTTATTTTCGGACTGTGTAGAAACTGTTAACAATGTTTCTTAAAGCGACCAAGTCAAAGTTGTCGGGTTTAATCGTTTTTGAAATTGGTTTTCTCTTTTTGCCAGGAGTCGATGAATCAGGTTAGGCAGATGTTGACGTACTAGACGTTGCAGACACCGGTGACACTTGTTTTACCTAAAATAAAATAAGGAAAACGTTTATTCACTTTCACAATACACAGCAAACTCATAAAATATTAGATCTTAAAATAATACATTACAAAGATAATGATGCACACCTGGAAAATTCAAATCATTTTTGGCAGCTGCCAAGATACCGAGTAGTATATATACTAGTGAAAAAGTTTTCTAATAGGTCTTCTAGCTCATCAACACTATTAAGTGTTCATGATTTGGACGAGGTTAAACATTTGATCAATATGTACTATAGGTATCTAAATTTAGTTACCTGCTTTTTTATTCTTAACAATGTCCTTTTCGATATTCAAGTTGCAGCGCAGGTTCTATTTATGGCTTGATCCACCGGAATAATAAACTTTTTATTAATTTTAAGATGCTCACGAGCTTCTTGAGCACTTTTGGTAGGGTCTGCGGGGATCACAAATTTGCTGAGTTCTTTCTCTCGTTCAAACAATACCTTGAGTATTAAGGCTCTTTCTTTCCTATGGATAGTTTTACCCATATTTGTAAAAAACAACCACCACAGATCCACGAAAATGTCCAAACGTAATTATGATAACAAAAACTCAACAAAAGTCCATACGTAACGAAAGTAAAAAAAAACTCAACAAATATTCAAAAACAGTAACAAATGACTCCTAAACGTAAACTAGAATAATTCTGAAATGCAAACTCAAGGATATGTGCAGCGGTTACAGGTATTCTAACGCTACTGGCCGCGCAAGGCGTGAGAGGGGTCCAGCGCGGTGAAGCGGGAGGGGAGGTCGAGTTTTGAGCCAGGTGCCAAGTTAATCCGCCCGGGTTGTAACTATCTAAGTTTCATCACTGTCTATTTTCTATGTAACGGCATCTTAACAATATATGGCTATAGAACAGCTATCACCACAACTATTTCCATTTGGTGATATAAACTATTAAGATGTATATACTAAATTAGTATTTATAGTTGCCGAAATGAACTTTCCTTCGTATTTTCTCCAGGACATGCTAAGTTAATCAGGTATACCTATTTAAGAGTTCATTTTATATACATATTATCTTTCTATGTACACTATCTGTTAAATATTTACATTATCTTACAAATTTACACCCATTCGAGATCTTGATGATGATGATAGTTTTCAAAATAAACTACGTCTACATAAAACCAACATCTGATGTGATAACATCACGATCTGGTCCATTCAAGCTTACACAATGATGAATGTTACGGATCTATCTGTTATTAAGAAGATAGACATTTCCATAATGGTCTATATGTTATAATGGTCATAGCTATTACAAATATTTACAGTATTTTAGTTTTACAGATGAAATATTTTTATGTTGCATCAAATTGCTTAGGATTACTAGTACTACTAGTCAATAAACATAAGATTTATACATAAACACAAGGTTTTACAAACTGACTAATAGATAATAAGAGATTGAAAATGTAATTTTTTACTTTTCTATGTTAATGTAATGTTTTAGTGGAGAAAGAATAAATTTTGTATGAAATACGAAGTGAATTTGTCTTTAAACGTAATTAAGCATTAGTTATTGGTAGTAGTAGTAGAGATTTCCTATATTTATGCGAATGGTCTATACTTCCACATTCATATAATTATTATTATTCTATAAAAACAACCTGTCTATTGTTTCAACTGACTTGAAAAAATGGACGAGGTTCTCAATTTGACTAATGTTTTGTGTTACCTCAGAACTTTTTTCTAGGTGAACCGATTTTGATGATTCTTTTTTTTGTTTAAAAGCTGGCTACTAGTGCTTCTCACGCGGTCTCATATAAATTTGATCAAGATCTAACCAGTAGTTTGTGAGTTTATCCTTAATGATGTGTATTTAATTAACTTCAACTACATTGATGATCTCATTTTATTTATATTGAAGTCGGTTGTACAAAAAAATAATTTTATCACTTGTTTGCTTAAAGTTGGTTGCAAATTTGAGTAGCCACACTGAGCTGTAGTAACCACACATACAACATCAGGTGGACTGTAGTATAAGTTTGTTTGTAACTTCAATCTCATAAAAACGTCATTTTATCAGTCACTGTACCTATAAAAAGTTCACAAAATTGAATTAGTTAAATTAACCTCAGCGCGTAACAACAATACAGATAGAATGCATTGAAAAGAATTTAAGTAGTCAGAATTTGTAAAGCGTTAAATTATCCGCTAGGCGCTAAAATTTGACCAAAAAGCTAACCTTCAAGGAAATAGCCTACCCTTTTTTAAAAGGCAGGTAACGTGTTTGCAATTCCCCGGGTCTTGCACTTCTTCATGGTCGGCGGTAGTCACTATCAGGTGAGCCGCATGCTCGTTTGCTTCCTCTTCTATAAAAAAGCTAAAATAGCCGCACTACCAAAATTGCAACAAAAGCACTAAAATTTAATTATTGTATAATACATAGAATACTATAATACACAATAGAATGGCTGTCAACCTTATTTTGTATGACGATAGGCGTCGCCGGGAGCACACATACAACCAATTACGTCGTATTATCAGTTAATCGCTACTATTATTACAAACCTGTGTCGCTATGTTGACAGATGGATTTTAATACATATTTATTTGTAAATAGCGTGCAATTTGGCATTTTCTAAATAATTTGCATGCGACAAATGAAAACGATTGTAACGTCAAAACACATCTCGTGTTGACATTTATACGTGTGAATTGACGTGTTAGTGGCATTTTAGTGGCTACACGGGCCCCGCCCACTCCCCCGTTCTATTATGTATGTAGTATTCTATGGTATAATAGGTATGTAAGATAATTTTTGTTTTTGGTGTGCCGTCGATATGCAGACCAGAAACTGTTAATGATCCACGACTTTTTCTGTCACCAGGGCGCGCCACTTTGGTATGAAATGAAATATTTGACAAATTTCATAGCGAGGAATTTAATTTTACCCGGTAGAGTTACGCTGAAGCTACATATATTATGGTTGTAGCACGTATGGGTCGGCACGACCGAGGTAGGACCAAGCTCTTGCAGAACAGCAGCTTAACGCGTGGAAAGCCAAAATCATATCTATAAAGTAAAAGTAAAGTTACAGCCTATATACGTCCCACTGCTGGGCACAGGCTTCCCCTCATTTCTGAGAAGGTTTTAGGGCAAAGAAGTGTTCGCTGCGCTGCCCCAATGCGTGTTGGCGAACTTCACATGTCGTCGAACTATTTTTTTTCT